CCCCAGTGCACCTGATGGAAGGAGGACTGTCTCCCTTGCACAGTCCTGTTTAGGTGATACCAGATCGCTTGGTGTAGAACTAAAACCCTAACCCACCACAGCCCTTGTCACTGAGTCGATCCCAACTCACAGCAGCCCACTAGGTCCGAGGGGACTGCGCCATCGTGTTTCCAAGGCCAAAATCGTCACAGGAGCGCCCTGTCACGTTTCTGCAGGGCATGGCTGGGAGATCTTTTGGTTAGAAGTGGAATACTTTGTACATACGACGCCGTTAGAATGTCCTACTGTGGGTAGGGTGGGCAGAAGCAAGGGGCCTATGTACTGGGTGTGTTTCTGGTATTGAAGAGATGTGTCAGAAGGATTAATCTCCCAGCTGCTGGCTGGAAGGCCCAAGGTTTGAATCCACCAGTGGCTCCACATAAGACAGACTGACAGCCCTGGAAACACTGAGGAGCAGGTCTACTCTGTCCTGCGGGGCACACACTACACGACAGCATCAATTCAGTGGCAAGGGCTGGGTGCGTTTTTTGAAACACATTATTCTGTACATTTTGAGTGAAAGTTTACAAATCCCACTGGCTTTTCAATCATTCTGACACATATGAAAAATAATAATTACAACCGGTTAATGTAACACCTCAACGAGAAAAAGATGAACAGCAGAGGGCGTGAAGAGATACCTCGGCAAACAAGACATTCCTTCAGATGGCCAACAAAACACAGGAAGAAACGTTACAAACCACTCACTGTGAGACGCAAATCAAAACAACACCGAGGTAGCATTATCACGCTAGAACAGCAGCAAAGTTCACCACCTTAGTAACAGCAAACGCTGGGCGTGTGTGCAGCGTGGCCTCTCACTCACCGCTGTTGGGATGTAAGCTGGTGCCACCAGGAAGGCAGGGGGTCTGGCACTTCCCGAGAAAGTTGAGGACGGAAGTACCATTGGATCAAACAACTCCACTATTAGGCATACTTCTCAAAGAAGTAAGAGCTGCTTGTGTTTGCTATCGTTTCTAAGAGTAGTCTGACCCTGCACAGCTAACTCAGCCCCGAATGCCTCTTAGGTAAAACAACTGATGGCATCACTAATCTGCTCTGGTGAGGCGACTGCGACGCAGTGATACATAACTGTCCAACATCCCACATCACTGCCCAGCGGTCTACGGAGACCACCAAATGCCAGCAATCATGGACCTTTCCCCCCTTTTCTTTTAACTATGGCTGTCCATTTTTCTTTACGATCTCACGTCCTAGGAATTTTGCACCCTGCAGGCTTTGGTAATATTGCCAGATGCCAACACAAAACTGTCAGAAGGCAGGCAAGCAAGACAGGAACTACTTGAGCTTGAATTCTCAGGCGACAGGTCAAGTCACTCCAGGTAGGTTCCATATTAACAGAGGTCAGAAGGATGTGAACAGGGGGGGTCTGCAGAGACGTAGGGACACGTGTCCCTCCCAGCAGTAACTGGAAGGATAAAGGATGACTCCTGCTTGGTCTTCCATACTCTGGGCATGTTGCTAGAGGAAAGTCCTTGGAAAGGGACAGTGTGTAAGGAAAGTTGGGAGGGAAGGGAAGCCCTTCAATGAGACGGACTGACACAGGGGCTGTAACAGGGGGCTCATGTGTGTCGGAGATGATGAGGATGACACAGGACAGGATTCTTATCCGTTGTTCATAGGCTCGCTGTGAGTCATACCTGACTGGAGAGCACCTAACAGCACCGGCAACCATTCTTTCTGCCTCTGCGCGGGGTGCAGGTACTCTGCCCTCTCGTGAGACTCTCACGGTTAGGAGAGATTCCTGGGCATCACGCCAGTGCCACAAGAGATCTGAAAGAAAACCCGGTAATAAAAACAGGTACAACTTCAAAACGAGGCACCAGACAAGACCCACGCTTGGGCTACAAGGTTTCACACACTAGTATTATACCACAAGCGGACAAACACTCCATTAACTGTATCAGGTTCACTACAGTCTACCACATCAAGTTCATCAGCGCTCCCTCTCCACATGCAAGGCACCAGCATCCCATCACACCAAGCTGGTTAGCATTCCAGCACGTCAAGTTGATTAGCCTTCTATCACATCAAATTGACCAGCCTTCTATCACGTCAAGTTGATTAGCACCCTCTCGTGACAAGATGACTAGTGTTCTAGCATGTCCAACAGATCAGCGTCCTGCCTTCCAGCATATCGTTGACCACCTTCTGTTGTGTCAAGCTGACCAACCTCCCACGACATCAAGTTAACCAAGCTTCTGTGACAGCAAGTTGGCAGCCTTCTATCATGTCCAACTGATCAGCATTCTGCCTTCCATCACGTCGCTGACCAGCGTTCCATCACATCAAGTTGACTAGCATTCTACCAGCATTACCAGGTTCACGAGTCTCCCCTCACTGTGGTTACGAGCCGTCAGATCCAGTAAGACCCACAGCGACCCTGTGAATAACAGAACCTTGTCCACTCCGACGCCATCCTCACACTTCCTGACACATCAGAGCCTGTAGTGGCAGTCACAGAGTCAATCCACAGGGTGGAGGGTCCCTCCTCTCCTTTGATGACCCTCCACCCTTCCAAACATCATTCCACCATTGCTGTTTGTTGATGACGGACGTCGAATCAAGCACGACTCATAGCAACTCTATGAACAGAAGACCTAATGCCTTTCCATAACTGTCGTCGTTTCTCCAAGTTCATAGAGTTTCCAGAGACATGGGGTTTAGGAAGTGGAGGCCACTCCTGCTTCCCAACCTGTTTTACAACTGGAAGCTCCACCACTGTCCACCTTGGGAAACCATTCCGGTATTTGATACCCCAATGGTACAAAGTTGAGCGTCACAGCAAACCCAGGTTACCTCACACAGCACATTGACAAAGAGTGATGTGCAAAGTGGAAGAGTGTTCCTCCAGATATAACAGCACTTGTCTCATTTAGCAGTGGTTAAGTGTCATCAAGTTGAATATGACTCAGAGTAAGCTTTGTACAAAGGACCTGAACTCTGCTCTGTAACTAACATTTCTGCACATTTATAGGGTTTAGAGTGTGTCGAGTTTCCAGAGGCATCTAGTTTAGGAAGTGGATGCCACTCCTGCGTCCCACCATGAATCCATCCGGAAGCTCATCCAAACACTGGACATGATGGGTAAGTAACCATTACGGTATTTGACAGGACTATGGAACAGTGTGCAGCATCACAGCAACTCCAAGTAGTTCAGTACAGCCAACAGACAAAAGATTGCTGTGCCATTTAAAGAATATTCACTCAAAAATGAATAAAATGATCAAGTTTAAAACTCTTGCCACAATGCAATTACCTGGGCCATGTACTGGGAAACTTTTGGTTTTTCCATTGTTACACTTTCATGTGAAGAAAGTGCTAATACGTGCACCTTGATGTTGCTAGTGGAGGAAGGCGGGGCAAACTGGAAGAGACCCTAACATGGTCAGGTTGATGCATCTGGAGAGTAGGGAGCAAGGGAAGACGAGGGGACCACCATGGAGGTCGTCAGTCAAGGTGGCTCTGAAAAGGATTTGGTTCTCAACCAGGAACCCTTCTCAGCTGTTACTGTGTCACGGTGATTAGTGGTGGTGCAATCCAAAGGATGACAGTGTTTCTAAGTTGATAATCATGGATACTTCCTTTCCCATCACTGTTCATGGATATTTTTAATAAAGATACGTGAAATAGGCACAGAGTATCTGTACCTACGTTACTCATAAGCAAAAAGGAAGATGTGCCCATTTGGCTGTTACACAAGAAAAAGAATTTAAAAAATCGGAAACAAAAAGATACAAGTGATACGTATAATAATGCAATTCACATTAGTGCAACAACAATGAAAGCAATTAAGTTATGCAAGTTATAGAATGGTTTTTTAGATGTTTATACTTTGATTATATAATATTACATACTAAAAAAGTTTCATAATTAGTAGACAGGAATGCAAACATTAGAAACAAAAAAAAGACTAGCTATGGACTTGGTAAAAGAAATGAGAATGAAGATCAAATGACTGAATTTTGTACAATGATGTATTCACCACATACACCTTCTTTAGAAAAAAGAAAACATATGGGGAGGTAAAGAGGAAAAAGAACCCAAATGGCAACTAGATGCATGGACTTAACCGGAGGCAGACTGACCGCAACGGTCGACATACACATTGGAAAAAATCCGCATCAGCAGTCAAGACCAGGCTAGGGAATGACTGTGGAAAGGACCGTGAATTACTTATGTGCAAGTTCAACTTAAACCTGAAGAAAGTCAAAACAAGTTTACAAAAACCACAACACAGCCTCGAATCTATCCCTTCTAAATGTAAAAACTAGTCCAAGAACAGGTCTGAGCACTGAACACTGACAATCAAAGACCAGATGAGCTGTGGGATGACATCAAGGAGATAAGCCATGAAGAAAGCGAAAGATCCCGGGGTGGGTTCCACGTTAAGATGGGAGCCCCGAGAGGGAAAAACATTCCTTCTACAGCAACTTTCTCTGCAGCTGCCAGGGTCCCAGCGCTGTTCTGTTGCTTTCTGGGGGCCCCATGACTGCTCCCGATTCAGTCACAGAGCAGAAATGCCTCGTAAGAGTTTTCTTTCCAGGCTGTCATCTCAACAGGTGTCACTCACCAGGCATTCAGCTGGGAACTCCGAGGTGGTGGGTTCGAATCCCCAGCCCTATCACGGATAAAAAAACTGAGGCTGGAGGCTCCCATAGAGGTCTCTGGCCTTCAGCTCCATGGCAGGGACACCCCAAGTCACCCCCTAACTTGGAGGGTTGTGAATGTGGGAGCAATCTCTGCAAGACCCAAGTGACATCCTCAATCATCCCCAACTTGGAGGGTGGAGAGTGTGGGTGCAATCTGTGCAAGAGCCAAGTGACACCCCGAGTCAACCCCAGATTGGAGAGTCGATGCAATCTCTGCAAGAGCCAAATGCTGGGGAGCCACAGGGCAGACTGGAGTACAGTGGCCACCCCCTCCACGCGTGGGCGGGGTCATCGCAGCTGGGAGAGGGCGCGCTGGTGGCAAGGGACGTAAGCCCTGGAGCTTCCCCCTCCCACTGCATTCTTGCGGAGAAAGAAAGGGGTCAGCCTGCGTGTGGGAGGAGTCCCAGCCATGGACACTGTCCGTCCTCTGGGTCCAGCGGGCTCGCCGCGGACGTGGTGGCGGGGTGGTTCGAACCCATCACCTCGGGCTCCGACTGCGAGCAGCTCCGAGTCCCGGATCAGCCCGTGCACGGACGTGGGGGGACACAAGCCCTGAGCCGGGCTTCGACTGCGGAAAGAAAGAGGCCGCGTCCACTCACCTGGACCCGATCCATCGTGGCCGCGGCCGCCGTGGCGGGTCCGTACGGAGGACGGGCAGGGCTGGGGTCCCGGAGAGCCCAGGGCGGCTCCGAGGAGGCACCTCGCCACGCGGGTTCACGGCTGAAACATGGGGACTCGGGTCCCGCAGAGGCCCAGGGACGGGGCGTGAGTGAACGCTCCGGACTACGACTCCGATCATCAAATCAGCACCGGCAAACGGAGATCGCAGCCATGGCGCCGGAAGTCCCGCCCCGGCAGACGAGGACGCCGGAAACACCCCTCCGTCCGTGTCTGCCATTGGCTGAGCTCCTAGGGGCACAGCGGCGACGAACAGCTTTCTGGGTAATGTAGTTTCTGGCTTCACTTCTCCTGGTCGACCCAGGTAACCCAGCTCCTTTCCAGGGGCTTCTGAACGCCAGGAGCCAGACCTTTCCTCCTGGGGACCCAAGACTCGAGAGGCAGAGATATAACCAAGGAATAAGCAAGTGGTAGCTCATAAACCCCCCTCTTGCTGAGAAAAAAAACCCCTCTCAGCTGGCTTTTCAGAGGCTGTAAAGGGAGATTTTGCTTATCTTTTCTCCTGCAGGGCAGCTGGTGGATTCGAACTGCTTGCCTTTGAGTTAGCATCCTTACTCCTTACCCAGTACACTGGAGCCCAGTGTTAGGTGCAGTCGAGTATGACTCACAGCGAACACACTGGATTGCAAGGAAAAGGCAGTGGAAGGAGATGCTGTCTGCCTCATTAGGTTTTTAACAGTTGACCAATTCAGCTTTTAAATTGGATAGATCAGAAGCTGATATTGTTTACCTCTGTCCTCCAATTTGTACAGTTAGGGAAGCAGGCGCGCGCGCTTGTCCCCCCACCCCTACCTCCCCGCCCGTGTGTGTGTCTCGCTCTCATCGTCAAAGTAGGTTGAAGTTAAGTTCAGACTATCTTTGTGACCCATGTGAATTCTAATTCTACACAGTACATAAAAGACTTCATCTTTCCACTTGTAATATTTTCAGGAAAATTACATCTTTATTCATATGTTGCTTGCGACTCATAGCGACCCTATGTACAACAGCCCTAAACCCTGCTCTATCCTGTGCCAATGGCACTGCCTCTGACACACCTACCCCCATTACCCTAGTCACTGAATCAATCCACCTCATAGAGGATCTTCCCCTTTTGCGCCGTCCCTTCACCCTCCCAAGCATGATGTCCCTCTCCAAGGACCTATCCCTCCTTACAACATGTCCAAAGTATGTCAGACGAAGCCCCAGAATCCTTGCCTCCAAGGAGCAGCCTGGTTTAACCCTCTCCAGGGTGAATCTGTTTGTTTTCTTGGCAGTCCATGGTATTCTCAATACTCTTCTCCAGCACCACAGTTCAAAGGCATCAATTCTCCTTCTGTTCTCCCTAGTCATTGTCCAACTCTCTGCTGCATAACAAGTGATTCCAAAGACCATACCCTGTATCAGATGCACCTTAACAGTTTATAAGGTTGACAGGCATACAAAGATGAGTGAGTCAGTCACAAACTTATATATTTTAGGACATCAAATATTTGTAAAATCTACAACATTGAATTCTATGGAGAATAAAGTTTCCTTATGTAAATAATAATAATAATAATAATAATAATAATAATAATAAATTCTCTATTCAGCAATTAAAAAAGTTTCTTAGTGTTACTGACATCAGGGAGAAACAGAATATTACAAGCTTAGGAGACATTTCACTTTTGTAAGATGATGTTTGCAAATAGATGAACAACTTGAAAAAGTGTTTGCTATACAAGTGGAAATGGTCCAAATGACCAATATTGTGTTTTCCATATGCTTGTCACAATAATAAAAATACACATAAATATTTAAAAGCTAAAAATAAAGGAAAAATACAAAAAACTTCATCCTGAATTATTTAAGTTATATAAAACATGTAAGATTTAAACTGCCTCTAGAAATCAACAGTGGACACATTTGAAAGCAATAATGACAATGTTGTACAAGTGGTAAATTTAAGGTAATTATTTAATTTACTAATGTATTTTTAATATTTGATATATTTATTAAATATTTTAAGGATTTCTAGAATTATTAGTTGTTAGATGAGAAAAGGTGAAGAGATTAGTATTATTAATTTTGTGTTCATATTTTGAAATGAAGGTTAAATGCCGTACTTTTAAAAGTATGCTTTTATGTTTAAAATTTTAGGGAAATAAAATAATATCCAGTTTCCAAAATGTGTACAAGGTACAATTACTAGGAGAAATGAATATTGAATTTCCAATAAAACATAAATGTATAATTATTTGAGAATAACCAGGAAAAGACAAGTTCTATGTAAAGAAGGAAAAGAATTTGATAGTTGAGTCTCATATGTAAAAATCTCCTAGATATAAATGTTGCCGTCACTGTCAAATACTGATGGACAATATTTAATGGAGCCCACGTTTTCTGCAGTGCAGTGGTGATGGATAGGTGCCATTGAATCTTCCCACCCTCATAGACATGTTGGGAACAGCAGACTAGACCCTGCCTTGTACTGCAACATTCTCACCGTCCCTGTTAGGTGAATTTATTACCCATATAATTTACAAGAAATATGGTGAGTTGTGATTTTTCAAAGGCTACATGACTCTCTGGCAGTTAGAAGCTACTGACTCTGCAGAAGATGGAGAGTGTCCTCTCACGGTTTACACCCTCAGAAACCTGGTGGAGGAATAAATAACTAGGAGTCTCAGGAGACTCAGCAAAGGTGGTGTGAGAGGGAGAAGGAGAAGGAGAAGGTGATTTTAACCAAGTGCTCCATGTGCACGGCCACAGATGTCAGAAAAACTCTGCCCTAGGGTGTAAGCAGATTATTATTGCTGTAAATAGTGTCATGTCACTTTACTTATTGGCACTTGTCCACTATTGTGCTTTAGTGAGTTAGAAACACAGAGCACTTGACATGTATGCACATTGATCATTACGTATGGCTGTGTGTGTTCTACCAGTTCATGGAATTAACGCAGCAATATGATCCTTTCACTTGTGCTTGTATTCTATGTGATGAATAAATAAGCGATTGAACATTTTACAAACATTAATTTCTAGCAAGTTGAGGGAATTTTCGACAACACATATTTCCGATACAATGAGGGAAATTTCTCTACCTTATTCAGGCAAAAGGAGGTCTGGAGGTGCTGCAGTCACACCTCAGGAGAATAAATGGGCTAACAGTGGGGTAGCACGAAGCACACAGTGCAGCCAACGTCAACAGCAACTGAGTGGGATGGTCATAAATAATCACAAATACATTAAAGAGGATAGAGAGTGTGTGAAATGATACAAAGGTGCTCACCAGCACAATGATGGTCTGGGTGGCCCGGGTCTCAGGCGAGGATCTGGGGGACACGTTCCGGTGGATGTGTTGGACCCTCTTCTTGTGTCTGTACAGGAAGAAAACCATGGAGCCACTGCTGCAGAGCATGAGTGCCAGACACACAGCGTCAGGGAACGCCGTCAGTGCTGCAAATAGTGATCCCACTGTGCTGTCGAGAGGGACGAAAGCACAGTATATGTACTCTTCGCCTTCTGTGGTGTTCTTGTTGGTCCACATAGAGGTCAGAAATATTATATATATGCTGTCTAGCAGCATGTGTGTGACCCAACACAGGAAGAGAGAGGCAGTGACGTAGATGGGAGCCTTGAGCTTCAGCTCTGCCCACCTGGAGTTCACAGGGGTGATGGTGACGGCCTGGAAGACACTCAGCAGACAGGTGCTGCTAATGGACACGCCCCTGCCCACCTTGTGCATGTAGGAAAAGAACTTGCATTCAGAATCACTGAGGGTATTTTTACATCCAAAGACTCGCAGTGTCTGGAAAATCGATTTAGGCAGAATGACCATGGAGTTAGCTAGTGCCAAGTGACTGATAATCAAGTCCTTGGACCTTAACTTGCGCCCTGAGAAGGAGAGGAAAAGATTATAGGAAAAAAGATAGAAATTTCCCAGGATTCCGGCAATAGTCTGTAAAGAGAAAAGAACTTCTTTTGTGAATTCCTGCGCAGACATGCTCTCCGTTTCCAGTGACCGAGAGCTGTCTTTAGAGCGAGTGGATTCACACCCACTGAAATCCTCTCTTCTTCATCTGCCAGTGATGCCCCCTCGGAAACGTTGCCTCACACCGAGATTGTGAAGAGTTGGAGAGAAAGCATTTGCAAGGTATGCTAAGAAGATAGTATAGATGGTAACTTCTTTATTCTTCACCATTTTATGCTGCTTTCGTTTTAAAGAGTGAGCTCAAGGGGGAGCTCTGGTGGCCTAGTGGCAAGGAGCTGTAACTACAATCCTAGAGATGCACAGTTCGAATCCACCAGATGCTCTGCCGGGGAAGGAGGGACAATCTCCTCCTGTACCAGTCAGATCTGATTTGACGGTACACTCACACAAAAACAATAAAATAAAAAATAAAAAATGCTAAAAAAAAAGACTGAACTCAAGTAGAAGCATGCTAGTTAGGAGTAGTTTAGGGACTGTGTGAATTGGATGCTAACCTGATGCATTTAACACTACACAAACCACACTTGAGAATGGCCTGGAGATGGATGTGTCTGACCTCCTCTGACTTCATGTCAGAAAGATTGAGATCGACTTCAGCCCCAAACTGATTCCTGTGATGTGTAGTCATGCATGTCTCCTGTCTTGTTCAGTTTAAAAGTCAGTTCTGACATAAACTATCACTCCACAGCATCTTGTACCTCTATACTGACTTAAATCATTCCTTATAAAGGCCACGCAGAACAGAAAGACCATAACAAGAGTTACAGATTTGATTAGGGAGGTAGCTCTCTACCATTGGGAATGAAGATTCAGAAGCTTATAGACAGTCATGCTTCCACAATATAGGCAGTCCTTACAACTCCTCTCAACTTGCATAGTTTCTAGCCACCTGCTCAGGCCAGCAGTGGCTTTGTCCTGAGAAAATACCCTTGTCTCTGCCTTTGACATGAGGCTTGGTTCCTGCAACGATCAAATACGTGTTACAGAATCTTTCAGCTCTTGACTTGTGAACGACAAAATTCCCTGCGTCCATCTCCTACCAGTCCGGTGGGCATGCGGCTGCCCTCTCTCTGCTTCTGTCATGTGACCTCTGCCTCTCGCCATTATTGGACTTACACAGCTGTCTTTGTTTCCCATGCCCAGGAGATACTCAGTGTGGGATTCAAAGGGCATCTTCTCTCTTCATTCTTTATCTTAAAAGGACTATAAATTCCCCAGTAAATTCTTGGGTTTTCTTGAAAGCGTAAGGCATGGCCAAACTCACCAGGCTCCTGAAAGTGTTCCATACAAAATTTTTGTATTATTTTCTATTTTACTGTATTTTTGTATTAGTCTATTAGCCCAACATATGGTATTCCACGGACCATATTTCCATTAGTCTGAGGGTACACTATTCTCTTGGTTGAACACAAGCACCTTGTTTACAATTCCCACACAATTATAGAGGGACTTAAAAGATCCTGGAGAGAAAGATCCTTTAAAAGGGATCCATAGCATTTCACCAAGCTTCTATCTATCCAGTGACCCAGTTCTGTATGTAATTTTTTAATCATCTCTTGTCATTTTAATGTATACTCTTGTTAAGTACCATAGAGTTGACCATGACTCATTGTGACTCTATGACCAAGGGGATGTTATTTGGGGTAACAAGTTTCTTCTGAGGTGTAATTATTTCATAAGTCAATTGATAGTCCAAATATCAATTATGGATCAATTTTATAAAAATCTTAATGAAACGAAGGTCACTGATTGCACTAGAAAAGTGTTGGAATGAACCGCATGGGCAGGATGAATTGAAAGAATCCAAGATTGATTTAGTATTAGGGTTGCAACAAAATAACATATTTGCTTTGATGCCAGAAATAAAATACAAGGGCAACTGCATCGGGAATTACTGAACAATTTCCTACCATGCTATGAACACTGAGACATTAAAAATTTTTAAAGTGATGAAAAATAGAGTACAGAAGCTAAGGGATTACTAATTTTCTTTCTTATATTTTATCACCTGTATCTTGGAGGAAGTGCAGCCAAGTTACTCCACAGAGAGCTGCCTGGTGACACTTCATCTCACGCAGAATGTCATCAAGGGGAGCCAGTCCTGGAAAGGACGTCATGGCAGGTGGGAAAGGTGGATGGTCAGAGAAAGAGAGGCACACAGTCAATCAGATGCACTGACACAGGGAATATACAATGGCCTTGAGCGTGTCAGAGACTCCAAAGGTGGGGCAGGACCAGGAAGGGATCAGATCTGTTGTTCATAGGAGAGCTAAGGGACCCAGCTGACTCCATGGCACATAACCACATCGCCATGCTCATCAATTGAAAAGTACGTATTTCAAATAAAAGTAGTATCATTTGGCAAGATTTCTGAAGCACAGGGCATTTACTACTGTTGTACAAAATAACACCTACAAATCATGACATTTTGTGCATCTGATAATTGAATTGTTTGGTTATTATTTGTCAGACATTAGGATGTGTTTCAGCCTGAGAAACTAGTTTAAGCGGATATCTACTGTTTAAAAATAATTATAATCAAGTATCCTTTTCCTGAAATGCTTCCTCTCTGACTTCTAGAGGGAGATCTTGTCCCATAATCAACAGACTACGTACATTTTCAGGAGCAATATGACTGTCTCAATCATGTGCTATACTTAGAGCAAATATTTCCATGCTTGCAACAGCTACTCAGAAACACTCTGTCTGCACAGAATTCAGAGACTCATGACATTTGCCCACTCAGAATTATAATTATGGGGCTGCAACAGGCAGGTTTCCAGATCTCTGAGAGTTCTTCTTTCTGCACAGTATGTTGAACAGCAGGTTGATTCAATACATGAGATTTTATTAAACCTTATTAAAATTAAGATTTCATGATCACTAGAATCAAGTATTGCAGGAGTGGCGTCTACTTCCTAAACAACATGTCTCTGGAAACTTTATGAACTTTGATAAATGACGATAGTTGTAGAGGAGCTTCAGAACTTTTGTTTATAGGGTCACGATGAATAATGCTTGACTCGACAGCAATCAACAACAGAATCAAGTATTAATTTCATAATCGTTAGAATGACACTAATAGTATTGAAAACTTTCAGGTTTGGGGTGGATGCTTGGGGTTACATCTGTTTATCCTTCAGTCCAAGATGTGACACAAAGTCAATTTTGAATCCACAAAACGCCTTACTTCAAAATGATGACTTATTCAAATCATTGTGTCTACTTCTCTTACAGACTCTGTCCTGTTACAACTGAGGGTAAAGTATAATAACAATTAGCAAGGAGAGAAAACATCAAGAATGACATAAAACAGACAGTGTCAAAAACAGGGGCCAGCAGTTCGGATCAACTGAAGCATCACAAACCACGCCTCTCTGCCTATTTATTGAGAATCAGGGGAAGCAAATCATAAAGAGAATCCTCTTGTAAATGAAGCTGAATTTTTCTGTATTGTCAACCTGATGCTTTTTAGCTCAGGAAGGAAGTATTTCACACGTAGTAACACTCCCTCTGCAGGGGGACCCTAGCTGTCTCTTGTCTACAGAAAACAGCTCATTTCCTGTGATCTGTCACAAGAGAAATTCCACCTTATAATTTTGGGATTCCTTCAATTCCTGAGTAAGTATATGGTTTTCCCATATAATATTTGGCATGAAATTTAGCTTGCCACACTGTCCTTCAGACTAAAATAGAAAATACTCACCAAGTTCCATCCAGGTGTGAGGTGGGCTCAAAAGCAGAGTGGTGAGATTAGTACATTAAAGACACGCTCTTTTTAGCATTGACTCCATTTAGTGTTGAACCTCATTTCCCACACTTCTGTGACAAGCTCAGCCCTCAATAACATTAACACAGTTCTGTGAAATTTGTATTTAATGTTTTCAGTTACTGTCATCTGTTTGAGACCACGAACTGGTGGTATTAAGGGTTGGTGAGCAAGTTCTGAATCTGGAGAGGCCAGCGTGAAAGGTACCAAGGCCCTGCCAGTTCAGCACCATCACACAGTAACTTTCATGTTTTAGTTCATTGTTGGAGTCAGTCAATCAATCGATCCACCCATCCACCAATCAATCTCATTAGGGTTCCTCCTTTTGTTGCTATTATTAGGACTATGCCATAAAATAGAAAGATTCTACTCATTTTAAAAGATAGAATTTTATTCTTTTTTCAAGAAAGTTTACACTGTAGTTTAGATTGTCAATCAACAGTTTCTATCCAATTTGAACAGTAAAATGACTTTCGTTACTCACAATTTGTAAACATTTTTAATTATTTATGCTCTGGTTATTCCATTTGTAATAACCTATCTTTCCTACTCCCTTACATTCTTGTTATTGTTTTAAGTAATTGTTGACTGTTGGTCTCCTAGAAATGACCTTTTTTGTTATTGTAGTGGATTGACTTAAGAGTCGAGTACGACTTATGGAGACCTTATGAGCAAAAGACCTGAAGCCCCTCTACAACTTTTGATATTTATTAAAATTCGTGGAGTTTATGAAGTTTAAGAAGTGGATATCACTCTTGCTTCCAAACCTGTCATAGAACGTTATTGTTGTTATGTGCCATTGAGTCACCTGCAATGTATAGCGACCCTATGTACAGCAGCTCTGAACCCTTCCCTGGCCTGAGCCAGTCTCGCTGACTCCAACTCACCAACTCCCATCGCCCCAGTTACTGTATCCATCCATCCATCCATCTCATCCATGATTTTCTTCTCCTACACCGTCTGTCCACCCTTTCGAGCATGATGTCCTTCTCCAATGACAAATCTCTCCTGGCCATATATGCAGACCTTTTTAGTATATTTTATTTGT